ATAAGGCTCAAATGCAATGAACACTTAAAAACAGTCCTAAAATAGTGCTAAATAAGTCCTAAAACATGTTGGAATTAAGACAAAAATAGTTAGAATAATAAGCTAAAACATAGAGCTATGTAAGCCAGTGAACAAGACACAAGCAGGGGAGGCTAACCCCTCTAATTTTGGATTTCAAAAAGTGTTTTTAGCCACTGAAATAACTATAAAATTCAGTATTTAAAAGCTCAAAAAAAAAGATGACAACAAGGTGGGAAACACAAAGGTAAAGGCCTTGGAAGCTAGGTAGAAGGAATGGTGAGCCACCGCTCCACCCTTATTGGCCTTAAACCACGAGTTTCAGCTCAAAATTTCTGAGTTTAGACAGTCCAAAAATAGCCCAAAAACAGTACAAAAATGTGCTGGAACGAATACAAAAGTAGCTAAAACATTGAGCAATTTAAGCTAGTAAACAAGCCAAAGGAGGGGTGGTTAACCCATCCATTTTTGGGACTTCAAAACTACTTTTTTAACCTCTGAAAACCTCTAAATATCAGAGGTAAAAATCTCCAAAAAAGATGATGAAGAGATGGAAAACACAAGTGTAAAGGCTCAGAGAACAAAGTTCAAAGAAGAGTGATTAACCCCTCTACCTTTAATAGCCTTAAACTACAAGCTTCATCCCATAAAAATAGTTGAAAAACACTTCAAAATCAACAAGAAAAGATAGAAAAGAAGAAGTGCAAAGATGCCCAAAATTATACCTCTTGAAGAGGAATAACACTTTTGTTCACAAACTAACAAGTTCTCACTATCAAGGGTTGAAATTTAGACTCAATAATCTGAACAAGGAGAGCTCCAATATTGGTTTATGAAGTGTAGAGAGAGGGTGTATAGGTTACATGATAGAGATAGAGATAAAGAGAGAATTTCAAGAATTTGAGGTTTTGAATTTTTTTGTAATCTTAAACCATGAAGGAAGGTCTCCTACATATGGAAAAATAGCCTCACAGGTCGGAAATATCATGCCTGGAACAGATGGAGCTTTTGGGGGACAGCTGGCCAAAAATATCTGTGTTTTTCACCAGTAGCTGGTAGGCCAGAAGTGTAAATTGCCGGCTACCAAAAATCTGCTTCCATGCCTGACTTCAAAAAGGCACATCTCCTTCATCCAGACCCGGTTTTAGGTCATTCTTGAGTCTAAATTGAAGCCCCGGAAGTTTAATTTCCAATGGTGGTAAACTCACATCTAAATTATAAGTGTTCAAAGAGATATGCCTATTTTAGTGAAGGTTGCTCATTTCTATTTTAACCGGATTGATGCCTAACTTCAAATGGATATATCTCCCTCATCCGGACTTGGCTTTAAGAGATTCTTGAGTCTATATTGAAGCCTTGGAAGTCCACTTTCCAATGGTTGTGGCCTCACAACTAAAGTCTAGGTGTACAAAGAGATAGGCCTGATTTAGTGAAGGCTGCTCAGTTCTCCCTTAACAGTTTGATACCCAACTTCTTTCCCATCTAGTTTTCTTCCCTCTTCTCCAATTTTGTTCAACTCCAAACCTATAAATAAGAGGTTTTAAATATTTTTCAAAGAGTTCACCTCTCTTCCATTTATTTCCACTTTGTCCTTGCTCGGTTTACTGAAAAGTGCAACTTTTAAACAAAATGTGAGCCTCGGAACATCGTAGAAACATTTGAAAAAATATTTTGAAAGAGAGGGTTTTAAGGTCTAAAATATTTTTTGTCAAAATGGGGTGTAAGGTTGGGACTTAGAAGCTCTTCTTGCTAAAGAAATCGAACATGTATACAACATAACTTTCATCATTGAGTGATCAACCTGAGGCGCCCAAGTCTTAAAGGCGGTTAAAAATGGGGTGTCTACAATAAGCATGAGAGGTTAGGCCCTAGAGCAAATAAATAAGTATTTGTTAGATACTCCGAATGCTCAAAGTGTTATGTGATGTATGGTGAACACCCTAATGGCGGAATGACTGAAAATGAGTCATGAGATGTCAATTTCATTGAGAATGAATTTCCTAGTATTAGTGAAGTAAAGAAAGATCTTGCACTATTTGAGTTACAAGATTCTGAGGAAATCACACCATCTAGTAGTGGTGGAGAATTAAAGAGTTATCTTGAAATCGACAAAGATAGTGGGAGTGATTTGCCTCCTAGTGGGAGTGTTTCACTAGACAATAACTCACTAGGATCCCAGTTATGTAGAAGTGAACATGGAACCATTCCTTATCGCCATTATGAGATTGAGGGAGAATCTTTCATGTGTACTCTGTTGGATCTTGATGAGCCTGCTTCCTATGAGGAAGCATTAATTTCACCTAAAGCTAATCAGTGGACAACTGCTATAAAGGATGAAATGAGTTCTATGGCTTGGAACCAAGTTTGGGAGTTGGTTGACCTTCCACCTGGGCACAAGACCATTGGTAACAAATGGGTCTTCAAAATTAAGTGCAAGGCTGATGGGTCAATCGATAAATACAAAGCCTGTCTCGTGGCAAAGAACTATACCCAAAGAGAGGGTATAGATTATGATGAGACATTCTTCTCGGTGGTGAGATTTGCCTTTATTTGCCTAATTCTAGCTATTGTCGCGCATTTGGATTTGGAACTTTTCCAAATAGATGTTAAGACTGCATTTCTCAATGGAAAACTAGATGAGGAGATCTATATGGATCAACCAGTAGGATTTGAGGTCAATGGACAAGAGCGCAAAGTATATTGCCTCAAACGTTCCATTTATGGCTTAAAGCAATCATCTAGACAATGGTACTTTAGATTCCATAAATCCATCGTTTCAACTGGGTTTGAGATGATGGAGGAAAACCATTGTATATGTCAAACAATCAGGAAAGAGTTTCCTTATTCTAACATTGTATGATGACGACATTATGTTAGTTGAAAATGACATAGAGATGATTGCCGCCACTCAAGAATAGTTATCCTCTATTTTTGAAATGATGGACATATGAGAGGCATATTACATGCTTAGAGTTAGGATCTTGAGAGATCGCTCTAAGAGGCTTCTTGGTTTGTCTCAAGAGAGTTACATTAACAGGATCTTGGAACGATTTGGTATGCACTATTCTAAACCCATTGACACTCCAATTGAGAAGGGATGTAATCTGAGCATTGACTTTTGCCCTAAGACAGATGAGGAAAAGAAACAAATGGCAAAAGTTCCCTATGCGGTGTAGTTGGTAGTCTTATGTACGCTATGATGTGTACTCGACCACCATATGTTTTGCAATGGGATTGGTCAATCGTTACCAGAGCAACCCAGGACTTGTTCACTGGCAAGCAGTGAAGAGGATTTTTCATTATCTTCGTGGGACGATGGATCTCTTTCTTTGCTATCAGGGTGGAGATTTGAGACTAAAGAGATACAGTGACGCAGACTAGGCTACTAATAAAGATGAGCACAAGTCTACCACTGGTTATTCGTCCTTATTTAGAGGAGTAGTTATTTATTAGTGTAGTAAGAAGCAATCATGCATTTCTTTGTCCACGATGGAATCATGGTACGTTGCTTGTTCAGCAGCAGTACAAGAGGCTGTTTGGTTGAGGTAGAGCCTTGAGATCACGGTTCTTGTAGATGAAGCCGTTATGATCTATGTTGACAGTATGATAGCTTTGGCATATTCTAAGGATCTCAAGTATCATGGTAGAACCAAACACATTAACATTCGATTTCACTTTATTCAAGATGTGGTTGCACGAGGGAAGGTAGTCCTACAGCATATCTCCACTAGCAGGATGGTAACTAATCCACTACTAAAGCCACTGCTAGAGACGTTTTCCAAACTCATATTAGGAGTTCAGGACTTCGTAGGATTTGATGTTTTTGTGGATACCTCATTGAATTTGTTGGATATTTTTTGAGTATCTTATGCATAATTATTTATTCATGTGGTTTTATGCACTACAACAAAACTAACTATTTACGACATCATATTTACTACATGCATTAAATGCATGTCGTAGTTAGTACATTCTACGATTTTTTTTTTTTGTGTGCAAGCCATTAATGTTTTGTCAATAATAACATACATATCATGTAAGTCATTAATTCATATATTTATAGCATACAAAAGTATGTTGTAAAAAATATATGTTTTCACGACTTACAAAAAATATGTCATAAAATATTTACACTTAAGACGACATATATTTTATGTTGTAAAATATTATAACTTTACACGACATGCTAATGAATGTCGTGAAAACTTAAAAAAAAAAAAAATTCAATTCGATTTTTTTATGACATGCAAAAGTATGTTGTAAAAAATGTATATTTTCACGGCATACAAAAATATGTTATAAAATATTTGCACTTAAGACAACATACATTTCATGCCGTAAAATATTAAATTTTATATTTTTTTGAATTTAGTATTTTTTTAGAAAATTAAAAATATTTTCCTTCCAAGTATATGAAAATTATTTAAAAACTTGCGCCACACTCCCTCTCATTTTAAATCCATACCTATTTTTGTCCTAAACCCTCTCATTCTTTAGGAAAATTATATTTTAATTATAAATAATAAAAACGAAAATTCTTAAATATTTACAAATTTTTAGTAAGATATGAGAATTTTTTTTTTATTTTTTATTTCCCATAAACTAGAAGCTATAAAAGACACTACTACAAAAATAGTTAAAGATCACACTTTGATAAATGAAAATATCTCACTTTTATTGAAAGTGTGATAAATAAATAAATAAATAATAGATTGATATTTTAATCACACTTGATTTGATTAAATGTGATAATATGTATTTTTGATGTCACTTTTCAATTAAGTGTGATTATATATATATATATTTTAATCACACCTTGTAATTAACATGTGATTAAAAATCACATAAGAAGAATTAAAAATATCACACTTTAATCACATTTAATTTAATTTAATGAATAAGACCATACATTTTAAATAAGTGCGATTATATATATTTGTATGGAGTCTAAACCCTAACCATATAGTATATGTTATATAGAGTCTAAACCTAACCTAACACTCCCTCTCACTCTCCTCTCTCTTTCTCTTCTGTCTCCTATGTTGTCGCCTCTAGTGGCGCCACTGGTGACCACCACCTCCTCCCTCGTCGCCCTGTCTCTCTTCTCATATTCTCTTCACCAATCTTCATCGGTCGTCTACTTCATTTTCTCCACTCTCGTCGTCGGTTCCAAAACCCTAACCCTACTTTTGATCTTCTTCAATCCCTCCACAAGCCATATGTTCGAATCTAGACCCTTCACTCCCCTCAACTGTTTCAGAACCTTTGTCTACAAAGGACTACCACCGGACTCGTCAGAATGATGATCTCGAACAGGTTGATTGCGATGAGAAAGATCAGGTGGTGAGGCACATTAATGCATTAGAAACGAAATCAGATTAGTGCTCCTACTTCAACATGAGATTCTTGTATCCTATCCAATTGAACAGGCGGTTGTTAGTGCTCCTACTTCAGGTTCTTTATCAGAAATAGACATGCAGGTCACTAATACTAGTGGCACCTTAGTTCTTCACTAGGGTGGGATACAAAATGGAAAAGAGTAAGTACACTTGTAAATATAATGATTTGCTTTGATTCAAGTTTTGAGCTATAGCATTAAAATGTTTTCTATCACTTTTGTCATTTTTTGAGGAAGTGGGTACTTCCTTCTCGTTCTCCTGAAGGAACTAGGATGTATAAGAACAGAGCTCTTAGAACTCCTTTTGTGAAAGTAAGTTACTCAATGGTGGTAGAAATTCAATTCATGGAGTGTCTTTCCATAAACTGAATATTGGTGACCTCTTTCTGACTTACCTAAGTCTACAACTAGATGCTCACTTTTTATTATTCATCGCTTTCTGTGTAGTCTAGCTCCAATTTCTTTTTGAAAATAGAGATTGATGATCCGACAATACATGCTATAGAGTTTCTTATAGTTGAGGAAGAACAGAACAAATGGTAAATACCCATTGGTTTATAATTTGATAGCTTTGTAGCTTCTGTGTAATCTATACCCAAAAAATTTACCTATTTAATTTCTTTAATTTTTCTTAATTCTTTTATTGGTAGGTTCAAAAATGATGGTGGCAACTTTCATGTTCCACTGACAGACAAGTTAATTCCAAATATTTCAGTTCCTGAAGATCTTGTACTGATACAAGCGTATTTGAGGTGGGAAAGGAAGGGTAAATAGATGTATGGTACTGAGGAAGAGAGGGCAAGTAACTAACGCTGGTTTATGAATGGATTAACTCAGAAAATTCTTTGTGCTAAGACTTTGTATTCAATTACATGTTTTTTTTTTTCTTTCAAAAGCGACGACCAATATTTGTGGTGAACAAGTTTTAATGGTTTTCAATTCCCAAACGAAGATCTGGGTTTTTATTTCTGCTCAAATAAGCTAGAAAAATAGCTTTTACAATCTTTTCATTCTCACACTCTGCCTAGTGTTTTAATGTTTCATTGTTTGATATCCCAGCATAAACATGTGGTTCTCACGAATTTGCCTATACACAAACATATGCCTTATGTTTTGTTGTGGGTGCTGCGAGTATGTATCGATATTATTATTATTAAGTTATAAAACGTTGCATTTTTAGGTCATTCTGTCATTGTGCATGAGGATGTCTTCACTAACTGCGAGTAATGTCCCTACCCCGGCAACAATACCGTCAGGTGTGTGGATATAATTATAATGGATGTTTTAATTTGGAGGTGGTTTGTTTCAGTCTCTACACTAAACTAAACTCCTAAACCTTAGGTGAATTTTGGAGCAAATCAACTGGGAGGCTAAATAAAAGAATCCCATCTAAAAGTTAAAATAGTTTTTGGATTATTTAGGATCAAATTTTGGAGGAAGATGAGGGGACTGAAGGTGAAAATAACTAAGGAGTGAGAAGTTCTTCAACATATTAAAACTAAAGAATAGAATTTGATTTGGAAATCTTAGGGACTTGGATTGGTTATCATTTAGCCAAAGTTATAATTGCACATGGAGTTTATTTTCCTTCGTCATAGCTTGTCCTCCCACACTCTGATTGCATTTTAAGCTCACATTCATTGAAAACTGTGTGTGCGCATTCGCACTCATGTAATGGAGTTAAAAGCCGTTTTCTTTGTTTCTGTTAGAAAGGAAAAAGAAAAAGACCTCAGCTTTTGGATTATACATTTGTTTAAAGTATTACTAGGAATGCAGTTGGATTTATTTGGCAGAGTCGCACAGAGTTATATGATGGTTTGGGCTGATAAACTAAAGAGGCACACTACGTTGGTTTGGGCTGGATTTATTTGGCAAAGTCTCACAAACCTCAGTAGAATTTTTGTCATAAACAAGAAGGATAAGCACGTGCGAACTAGATTTGTTCTATAGGCTCTCATTATAAATGCTCTACATATATATATATATATATACATATTAAAATTCTATTCCTTTTTTTCTAGGAAATGATTTTGATAGGATTAAACAAAAAAATTGTGAGAAAACTTTTATGCTAAAAACTTGGAGGAAAGGCAAATGACAATTTTTTTTGTGGGTGAGAAAGGTCGATCTTTGATCGGACAAGCAGGGGTGCTCAATTCATAACTTTCCCCTCTCGTACCCAAGTTCCCGAGCCGAGACAATCTTGGTAATGACGGACATGTGGCCTTTGGCATGAGTCATGGGTTTCCTAAATTTTCCAAAAAAATATTTAGGTTGCGACTCAGTATCTGGCAAAATAGTCCATTTTTGGCAATTTGATTCAAAATCTATTTTTCAAAAGATTTGTCGAATTTGGACTCTTTGGTGTTTATTTATTTCACATTGCACTTGTGCGATCAGATTCAGAACTGTGAGAGTCCGATACTGTAGGGCTTATTCATCTTCCGAAATGGGGCACGAAAAGTCGGGCTACACTTATTAGAAGTATTGTGAACAAAACCCGCATAACCCCAAGGCTGCAAATGCTCCAAATGTGGTTTTGTGCCTTTCCATAATTCATATGGAGTTATTGGAACTGAATTTGACGGCACACAGTTAAGGATGTAGGCAGCAGTCAAAAGAGAATTCCCCCAAAAACATATAGGGAGGTTGGCTTGCGCCATCATCGATCTAACCATTTCAAGTAAAGTGCGATTCCGTCTCTCTACTACGCCATTTTGTTGCAGAGTCCCTGGAATCGTTAATTGCATGTGTATCCTCTTTTCCACACATAGTCCTAGAAACTGATGTGATCTGTTCGAATAATTTTCAATTTCCTGTCTATTTGATTCTCAACCAGTGCAGTAAAGTGCTTGAAGCAATCCAATGCCTCAAAGCGATGTGAGATCAAATAGACATAAGTGAATCGTGAGTAATCATCAATAAATATGAGGAAATAAGAAGTGCCATGGCGTGTCTTTACATTCATAGGTTCACAAATGTCAGAGTAAATTAACTCTAGAGGATATAAAGCCCTAGATGACTTTTTAAAAGCCTTTTTATAGGCTTTTCCTGCCAAACAAGGTTCACACACAGGCAGACTTACATTAGCAAGATGCCTCAATTGGTTTTCTTTTTATCTTTACCTATGTGACCAAGTCTAGCATGCCAATTAACAGAATTTAATGAGTCATCATCACAAGA